CTGAGTAATGGTGTTGATTTTGGCAGGGTCGACTTGAATTCCATCAGTTCCAATAATAAATCCAAGAAACTTTGTCTTCTTTACTTTGAATTCGCACCTCTTGATGTCAGCGTGAAGTCCATGCTCTTCAAGCTTTTTGAGGACTTTTCTGACATGCTCTTCGTGCTCAAGGGGGTCCTCAGAGTAAATCAGNCAGCGTGAAGTCCATGCTCTTCAAGCTTTTTGAGGACTTTTCTGACATGCTCTTCGTGCTCAAGGGGGTCCTCAGAGTAAATCAGAATGTCATCCAAATAGGCTGTACAAAAGATGTCCAAGTATTCGGCCAGGGCACTATTCATATAGCGCTGAAAAGTTGCTGGCCCATTTGTGAGTCCAAAGGGAAGGACCTTGCATTTGAAAGCACCATAGCGTGTACGGAATGTAGTAAGATCCTCTGATGTTGCTGCTACTCGAATTTGGTGGAAAGCTTGACGGATGTCCAATTTGGTAAAGATTTTTGCTTTGGCAAGACGTGCAAGAGTCTCCTCAATCAAGGAAAGTGGGTAGCGGTCCTTTTTTGTAATAGCGTTCAATTTCCGGTAATCAATGCAGAATCTAAGTTCTCCGTTAAGCTTGGTTACAAAAAGCACTGGTGAAGCGTAGGGAGCGTTGCTTGGGGCAATAAAGCCTTTAGCGAGGTTTTCGCGAAGGTACTCTCGAATATCAAGTTCTGCCAATGACTGCTTGTACAGTGGGCTCTGGCGTAGTTCATTCACTGAATGGCCTTCTTCAAGTTCAATGTTGTGATCTGAAGGCTTGAAGTCAGCTAGCGTGTCTGATTCGCCTCTTGAGAAGGCTTTTATCCTGTCATGCCACTCAGGGGGTAAAACTCGTAAAAGTGCTTCGTGGGTTGATTCTTCGGATTTATCAGAGCTGTCTTGGCGTTGCTGAAGAATGTCAATTTGCTTGTCTAGCTCAGCAAGTGTAATAGAGAAGAGAGTGTTTTCTTTTTGATTGCAGTTCCAATAAAAGCTATTTGCAGAAATCATTTGGATGTCGACGAGGCGCTTTGACGGCTCTTTTGAAGGCGTCCAAAGAG